TAATTTTAATAGTATTTTTTTAATTTTTAAGAAATAAAGTAAATAAACATTAATCCATATAAATTAACAATAGTGATCAATCAAGAATCAATTAAATTATTTTAGTTTTTATTTTGTAATACTTTATTAAAATAATATAATTTTAATAGTATTTTTTAAATTTTTAAGAAATAAAGTAAATAAACATTATTCCATATAAATTAACAATAGTGATCAATCAAGAATCAATTAAGGTAGAATTTTTCACTTTTTAAAACTTAAATTTTAAACATTGTCTTTATCTTATAAAAAAAAGTTAAAGATAAAGACTTCAACATTATTTGATAAAGACTTCACCATTATTTTTTCTCAAATCTGAACTTAAGATTTATTCACTTTTTAAATTTTAAAATTTATGATATAATTTATTTTCAATCATTTTATATTATGACTCAACCTATATATATATATATATATATAAGCAAATTTTAAAAACTTAGTTAAAAACAAGAAGCATACATATTTTTTTAGGATTAAGAACACTATTAAATTAGTAAATGACCAAGAAATAGCCGTTACTCTAACTAAACACGATTTCAGCAGAATATCTTGCAATCATTTGTAACATAGATAAGAGCTAGAGAGAAGTGAAAGATATTGCTGCAGAAATCAACGTGACATTTGATGAAGAGGCATGGTTCCTTTCTCAAGGTCTAGCTAAGAGAAGATAGAAAGAAAGAAAAGACAAGATGCTTAAGGTGTTAGAAGAACCGAAAAGGATAATTAAAAAAAAAAAATTCCTAATTTTCATGAAGACATAGAAGCTAACATGTACACTTTATTTCATCAAATAAAAGTCAACATTCTATTGAATTATAAAGTTTTTAAGTTCAAAGCTTTAGGGGTATTTGGTTTTGAGTTTTTTAAATAATTATCGATTGATATATTTAATTGAATAGATTAAATATTTTAAATTATAAATAATAATAATTATTGATTATTAAATATTAATTATTAACTATTAATTACATCTAAATGACTAATTTAAATATTCCTTTTATTACATAACCATGAAGGCATGAGCATTTAGTCAGGAGACAGGGGCATGTTTCGGGCAGTTTGAGTGGCAATACGATAAGAAATATAGCCAAGGATCTAGGAAGAAAAGTAGAAGTCACATACGAAATGTCATATCGTTCCTGGTATTCTGATTTTGGAGAGGATGAAATCGAAGTGCTGATTCACAGTGGGAATCAAATTCTGATAAGTCCTATGCATGATCTATGTTGTTCAAGGGAGTTGTACGTAAAAGTCCCAACTGCAATAGGCGTTTCATTCGTATGATGCAAAGCAAAAACAAAGGGGGTTTGAGTTTCAGATACTCATTCTGTCGACTTTCAATCAAATCAAAGAAGTCCTTAGCTGTCCCAAGCGTGAAGAGACTGAACTCTCGAGGGATCAGATGCAGAATCCTTTTGTTTTCATTGTCAATGCATTTTTTTTCAAAGTATAGTTGTTAGGTGCTATCATAAGCCAACTTCCGCGTTCCATACTAAATCCTAGCTTCCTGTTCGTGGTCCTCACAAGATCAAATGTAATCCATCCATACCGAAAATTACCGAGAAATTCTCTTCTCATTGACCTTTTAAAAACAGGTGGTGGGGAGCAATTTCCTTATTCTCCTCTTATTGGTAACTTTAAAAGCCCTGGAATTCGAAATCTTCACATGGGAAAAAATTTTCCAAGTCTGATGCATGAACCGAAACCTTTTTCTATAGTGGTAGGTCCAATGAAGAGACAGGGGCACTTCTTACATTTTGAAGGAACCGTTTCACAGTCAACATGCTTGACATTGGAAATAAGTTCATCAACAGCATAACGTGGGGAAACGGGGCTTCTCCAATCAGGCCACACACAATTAATTCGCTGCTCCAGAAACATCTAAAATCACATAGATAATAGATATCAACGTTCATCTATGTACATTGTACAAGATTAAAGGACGGCTAGGTTGGACTAAGTCAAGACGTAAACTGCATATATACATCAGTTGTGTCAAATAACCATGTATTTTGTACACCACAAAGTATTAAGTATTTGTAACTAGTTTCTTGATCAAACTGTGTCTGCCTCAGGTGAGAAGCTACTTCCCACCCTTACCGTAGCTATCTTTCAGAGTGACAGTCCGGTTAAAGACAAGTTTCTCAGGAGTGGAATCCTTGTCAACGGTAAAGTAGCCTAGAATTGCAAATCAAAAGCAGGTATTAGATGTGAAAGGGAAAAAAAAAA